TAATATTATTGTGACGGTTTCTTTTGATAAGTTGCGTCCTCGCTACGAATCAAGAAGAAATCCATCACCACGGGAAGATATGGTACTAGCACATATCTCTTGGCTGCGTCCATTTGCCACTCATTCCTGGACTGCCATCAAACGCAGCAGGGAACAAAGAAGGAATGCGCATTCCCTTGAAAACTATGTAAGAAGCTTAGAGAACAAACTAGCTGCACAACACCAAGCTTGGAAAAACGAGAGAGTCTTATTAGCACAACTAGAAATACAAGAAAAAGAGATAGATCTCGTCAACAGCGAACAGATATCAGATGGATTTGAGACAGAATTGATGATACAACAAGAAATAAATAATGAGTTAAAATTCAATGAGCTTCAAAGAAAACTAGCAAGGAAACAAGAGGACATAAAGGTCGCCGAGCATCAGTTTAAACGTAGTGAGCAGAGAGTACAAGAGCTTGAAGTCACTCTAGCAGAGGAGCAGAATGCTCATGAACAAACCAAGCGGAGTCTTAAGCTGAAAAGCGAAAAAGTACATGAGCTTGAAATAAATCTAGCATCTACACCAAAGGCCCTTGAAGAGAAGGAAAACGAGCTCATCAGAGTCAGACAGATTCCAGCTGTCTTTGAAGATAAACTGGTGACAGAACAGGAAACAACAAAAGAGGTAGAAAAGCATCACGAGGGGACCGTAGATAAATCAAATGAGCTTCAAAGGAAATTAGCTTGTGAACAGAAAGCTAAAGAGGAAACAGAGAAACGACTTGAAATCTGCCAAGAAAAATCAAAAGAGCTCGAAACAACGCTTGCCGCGACGCAAAAACTTGTAAAAAAGAAACAAGAACCTGAAAATGAGTGCGAGTGGACTTTGAATCGAGAAGAGATTCAGATTACTGAAGAAAAACTCGGAAGCGGAACGTTTGGAACTGTGTACAAAGGAATGTTTCGTGGTACACAAGTTGCTGTAAAACAAGTCTCAGTAAAGCCAAAGATTACAGAGTACAACATAGGAAACTTTAGAAGGGAAATGAAAATAGCTTCCAGATGTCGTCATCCTTGCATGTTACAGTTCATTGGTGCAACAAGCGATGATCAAAGTCCATTATTGTTGACTGAACTGTTGGACACCAGTTTAAAAATGGTCTTACTTGATCGTGCATTAGATCTGGTTGAGATTATAACTATTGCACGGGATGTTGCTAAAGGGTTAAACTACTTACATCTCACCCGTCCACATCCTATCGTTCACCGTGACATCAGCAGTGGTAGCGTGTTGCTATGGAAACATGGTCAGTCATGGCGAGGGAAGATTTCAGACTATGGGAATGCTGTACTTATGAACTATGCCAAGACAGGCAGTGGTGGTGCTATTTTGTACTTGGCGCCTGAAATGAACAACAAAAGATTTTCACCAAAGGTAAAACATTAGTGAAGCTTACTTCAATAAAGAACGTTTGTGCAGACATGCTATCTAGGGTGAACGAACCAAAAAATGTTAGTAAGAAAGATAGACCAGAATACATCACTGTCGTTTGTTGACTACTGAATAATTATTGATCATACAAAAGTTGTAATTTGACATTTATTGCATTTAGGAATTTTTTAATCTTTAAACGTCATGAAACTTGATTGATTGATTGCGCCCTCAACACAGTTGTGTAAGGAGAAACATTAGAAAATAGAAAATGAAAAAACAAAAATAATCAGATGAAAGGAAAGGATGCATAATCACTGCTAAGAAAAGCTGAGGTGCCGGATAGTCTTATAGCGGCACCGCTGTTTCGGAAAAGAGCAGATATTAGATAGGATTAGCTCTTTGAGAAACAGCGATATCAGCAGTAATGGAAGTTTATATTTAAATAATCGCTACTGCGTCGCCAACTTGTCTGGTGTAGTCTCTCGGGCTGACACCAACGCAGGAAACTGAGGAAAACCGATTAAGCATGTAATCTTGTTTTTCTCACCAATAATTGTCCTCTCTGTTTGATTGATGCCTAGAGGTTTTTTAGCTGATAAGTTACTTAAATATTTACTTTGGGCGNACCCTTTATTAAAACGTTTTTTTAAATTGAAAATTACCCATAATGCACCCGGTCTATCGATATATCGATATTCATTTTATTTACAGAATTTTTGAAAAGCGCTGTATATATATATATATATATATATATATACACACACGAAGTTGCGCGAAGGACCATGGTACAGCTTAGTATGTAAATCGTGATTTTGATTCAGTGTATTCGTGTGTACTGGAAGAAGTCAAATACGGTCATGCCTCGAGCGTTCAGTGATGATGAAGCGTCTTGCCTTATGGCATGAATTATTCGAAAGAAGAAATTCCCGTTCGTCTTGGAATGTCATCAAGATCCGTACTAAGATTCGCCAGACGGTATGACGAAACGGGAAAGGTTCAAGCTGACAAGCAAGAAAGATCAGCAGGTTCATATGCCCTTTTACCTCGAGACGAAGCCATTCTCATACGAGAGATACTAGGGCACCCAGAAAGAACTCTTGGCGAGCTTTGTGAGCACGTAAGGCGAATTAACGGTACTAGGGTCGCAGTTTCCACATTGTACGACTATTTCAACAGAAATGGCATTACGCGTAAAATGATTATTTGAGTGATTTATGTGAGTGATTATTTTGATAATTAAAATCCGGTAAGCAGAGAATGCGTGAAATACTAGGATAAATGAAAAAAAAAACTTCCATACAAATTTCATATTTGGCAATTACAGCTAAGAAGAACTGCTTCTCAAAGATGTGAAGATGACCGTTTGAATTATTGGTCGGTGGTCTCTCTATTTCATCCAGCAATGCTTGTATTTCTTGACGAGTGTGGATTTGTAAGTACTGTGCAAAGTCCATTTTTTCCCCTTTTGACCACCATTTCCATTTATCTAAATAATTAAGTCGTTAATAATAAATATTAAAATAAACCGTTGTCGTTGRCCTTTTGCACTTTAGGTCAGTAAGCCTAACGAGAGTAGCAAGTATAAATATTTATCGAGTATTAATAAATTAGGGTTTTTTTTTCTTTCTTTCTTTTTTCAGGTAAACGAATTATGAGAAGCTTTGGTTACAGCTTTCGTGGCTGCCCAGCTCAAAGTCAAAGGTGGTATGGCATTTGGGGTCCACGAATTACAGCGATTTCTGTCATATGCTCAGAAGGGATCATTGAATTGAACATTCGTCGAGGAACTTCTGATGAAGAGAGCTTCCTGGCATTTGTAAATGAGAAGCTCATCCCTGATCTACAGCGGTTTGGTTGTGGTTTTTATGGGTAATGATTTTTATCACGACTTCATACCGGCAGACTTTTATTTCATCTTATCATGTTAAGCAAGGTTTTTGCTCTTATAACAGATAATGCTGCGATTCATTGCTGCCGTCGCGTTGTTGAAGCTATCAATACCACTGGTGATCTAATCGTGTTCCTTCCAGCTTATAGTCCAGATTTTAACCCGTGTGAAAACATTTTTTCTCAAGCAAAGAGTTGGATTCGAGCTAATGATGTTGTGTGGCAAGTGTGTCATGATCCAGAACTGGAAATGCTTTTTAAGGCCTTTATGCAAGTTTCTGATGTAGACATCAGAAACTATTTACGATTTATTGGGTATTTATAAAATCCATTCTAACTTGGGGTGTTATCTTGACAATTTTCCCAATATGCTATAGACTACGACACAAGATATCTCAAAGTGTAAAGCCTTTTAATGATGAATTTTTGCAATAGGTGATACACTGTAATTAATTTGTAATACTTATATTATGATGGTTGTAGAAAAAAACATTTATGTTCATACTTAGCTTGACTACAAGTCAGTCCTCATAATACTATGCGAATAAAACCTTACATCATTACATCATTGCTCGGTGCAATTAGGTTTTTTGAGGTCCTCCAACATCTTTTTCTGCTCTTGAAACTCCTCGTTGCTATGACATTGGCCAAGAATTAGTCCTCGTGCTTTGATCTATAATAGTGAAAACAGAGAAAGCCGCGTTTCATTTATCAAAAAATGTAGAACAAGATTTTTTTTAAATGAAGTAACACCAGCAAAAAAGATTACAAGGGCAGTTCAAACCTGCGCTTCGTTTACTCCCGTGGCATCCATTTCTCGTTTGCTGGGTTGTGCTGAGGTAGAACAGGTAGAAGTCGATGTTGATGACTTAACTACACATTTAGGCTCTGTCGCAAAAGACGAAACATTTGGTGGCACTGTCTCGTCATCATGACTTCCATTTACCTGAAAATAAGTATGATAATAATTTACTTAATTAACTCGTAAAATTTGTGTACAGATAATGAGTAAAAATAACATTTTCTTACCAACATTCTTGCCCAACACTTTAATTTAAAATCGTCCATTTTTGAGCCATGTTCAGTTTGGCGCGTAGTTTTGACAAATAGCTGTTGAAGCGACTATCATCTTCTTTCTTGACATCTGTTTCTACAAAATAATAATTCTACATTCCTCTTCTTCTTTTCCCGTGAGCTGAACTTCAGTACTAATAGTTTTTCGTTGTAGCAAAGTCATTTTTTGAATTAAAGTAGCGAGAAAGTTCGCATAATTTATTCGATTTAAAATAGTTTTTAGAGCGCACGTATCAATATGCCGAAATTTTCACGTGCGCTCAATGCGTAGCCCAATTAATATTTTTACAGACCGTAAATCCTTTTTTAATTTTAGTTCTTTCTTTCTATTAAAAAACAGATAGCTGCAGTATTGAAAAAACGATAGCTAGTTCCTTTACAGACCTTTTAGTTTGACTGTCACTCACTTGTTTTCTTGTTTCCCGTCGGCCTAAAGTCAAGGCAGATGAGCTCGTCGTCGTCAGCCGACCCTCGTTTTCCTAGAATTGCCTTTCCTTTTGGAGTAGATGAAGGAAAGGGATCCAACCAAAATGTCACGTAGTTCAAACTCTCTTTCAAGCATGCCTCTTTCAGGTGTTCGTTCGTACGTATGGAAAGCTTTCTCCCTCTTGGTCCATAATAACCTAGTTCGAAGCCATTCACTTCTTTGGCCGGGCTTATTTCAGCGGCATGTTTCTCTAATAAATATCTTTTAAACATCTCAACATCTTTAAATATTGGCACCTCTCTCAAGGAAAACAAAGAAGACTGTTTTTTGTTTTCCAATTTTAAAACTTTCAGCATAATATTCACACGTGCCGTTCCGGTGTACATCTTGTTAAATGTTTTGAAAATCCCGCCTCGTGCGTGGAAAAGTGGACTTAAAGCACGTGATTTTTAAAGGGTAACCATGAACCTCCGCGCCGCTAGCTTACTGCTTTCACTCTACACGGGTGACTAACTTTCTCGAAAAGGGTATATAGACAGACAGACAGACAGACAGACATATTTTATTTGGCGTTTTGTACAAAGTTGCACATCAACTTAGATCCAAATAAGTTACGAATATATACGTATGTTTATGTATGTGCATAATATCTATATTCACATATTCCACACATACACGTCATACGTACATATATATTCTGTATATATAAATGTTCATAAAATTATTTCGATAAAATGCATTACTAATTTTACGAAATTTACCGATTCGAATTGTGGGGGATGAGTGCTTGTTTGTTAGCCAGACAATTCGCCAGGTTATAGCTCAAAGTTGACATATTTAGATACAAACTTGTTGCAAATTACTAATTGAAATCACAAAAATAATTCGCAGCGCACATTGCTAAACAAAGCAAAAATAAATATATATATATATCCCAGTAGATTACTTAATCTTTCTACTTACTTTTTTTTTTAGAGAAAAATAGCTTGAAAATCGTAAATGGGCTTCCTGTGCTATAACAAATAGAAAGCGGAAGCACAAAATCGAGGCTGGCAGGGGAATACCCTAATTTATATTTCAGGAGTGAAACATTTAGAGACGCCATTTTGGAAGCTTGTTTTTACTGCCGAGTATAAAGCCTTTATTATGAGTCGGTTAGGAAGTGAATCAACTAAATATATTCTTTTGAAACATAAGATGTTTAATTTGGAAATGCAATGCGAAGTTTTTCAAAGAGGTCAAATATTTGTCGAAGATTTAGATGTTCCTTATTCACCAAGTGGTTTTATAACTCTTAACGACAAAAGTCGTGGAGTAAAGTTTCAATGTCCTGCTGAAGATACTGCTAGACTAACATATGAAGATGCTGAAAATCTTATGAGAATAGTCTCCTTAGAGAACAGATATAAAGCTTTTAAAGAAGGAAGTCGTTTTAAAAACCTGGAAGCTGGAAGTAAAGTGTTTGTGGAGGTGAATGGTAGAGAATTCCCTGGAGTAGTTAAGGTCGTCTCACAATCGTGTATCTATTCTGAGCCTATGGTCGAGGTATGTAATTTCAAGAGCATTATGTTTTTGTTTTTCACTGTGAAGTCACGCTATCGAAAAAATCGTTTTGTTTTTTTTTTTCGTTTTATCATAATAAAAGTTACAATCTATAAATCTTTATTTGTACTCTGTGACGTAGTTGCTGCTTAATTTCGTTTATACACGAATCGCGAATCTCAGGTCGCTATGCATTGCATTGAGAGTTGCCTCAATTACAAAATTTAACCTTCAGTGAAAATTGTACTGATGTCTACCTCTTGTATACAGTATTTTTCTTTATTTCTTATTCGTCAGTTCATTAGATATCCATAAATGTTTGTGGACTAGCCTATGTTATTTGGAACTCGTGCTAAGCTTTCACAGGTTTCTGATTACAATATATTTTTCATTGGTCCCCCCATTAAGCGTGTATTTGAATTTAATTATATAGGAATTACTTTTGACGAACACCTTTCATGGAACTGCCATATCCAGTGTATTTTATCCAAAGCTGGCAAAAGGCTAGGTATGCTAGGGCGCATTATGCTTACAACTATTCACAGTCAGTGTGAATATTATGATGAATACCCTAGGGAATTGTAATATGCAAATAGAGTATATATAAAGGGAAGCGTGGTCCCTCTGGTGCTACTTCATTCAAATTAACGGGAAGAGTACAGACGTCTTTGATTGAACTACCGATCCCGCTTGCTCGCCCATTTCTTGGAAGGTCAAGAACAGGTTCGCCTTGGGTTACCGCCAGGAGATGTAAGACAGGCAGTTCTTCCTGTTGCTGAAGAGGTGAACGATAGTAATCTTATTCCTCGTGTGACCAAGTTCTGGTCTAGTTAGATTCTTGTTGAAAGACCATCTTGTTATTTCATTCTTCGGAGTTCAGAAGTTTCAGAACTTGGTGTTTTTCCTATAGTTTAGTTTTATTAATTTGCACAGTTAAAGTTCTGGGGTTCGTTGAGCGTTCAAATGAATGGTTTTCAGCTCTGTCTTCTCCTGAAGCGTTTAAATGAAGTGTTTTCAAGCTCTGCGGATTGTTGAGCGTTTTAATGAGGTGTACAGTCAATTCAAAAAATGTTGTCGTCGACCAACTCAAGCCTACGCGACTGGACCGAAAGGAACTCTGGGTAGTAATCATTGAAGCCGAGTTATGCCTGGTTTACAGTACGAACCTTCGTAGGCGAGCGGGAAGTGTAGAAGGAGACGCTTTTTTTTACTGCCTTCATATTTTCGGAATTGTGAACTGAATCATAACTACTTTGTTTTTTCTTTCCCTAAACCCAAAGACATGCATTTGAGGGATTGTTTCTCGCCATTATTATCTTATTACTAGTGGAATAATTAATTCATAACGAATATATTTAACCGCTTCATTGATTTTTACCCATATTCCTTTCGGTCCAGTCGCGTAGGCTTGAGCCGGTCGACGACAACGTTTTTTGAATTGACTGCATTCAAGCCGCGTGGTTTGTTGCGCGTCTAAATGAATTGTTTTCAGCTCTGTCGTTTGTTTAAGCGAAGTTAAGTGTTTTCAAGCTCAGTGGTTTGTTGAGCGTTTAAATGAAGTGTTTTCAAGCTCCGTGGTTTGTTGAGCGTTTAAATAAAGTGTTTTCAAGCTCCATGGTTTGTCGAGCGTTTCAGTGATTAAAGTGTTTTCAAGCTCTGTGGATTGTTTAGCGTTTCAGTGAAGTGTAAAATGTATTAGAGCTCTGTGGATTGTTGAGCGTTTAAATGAAGGGTTTTCAAGGTATGTATGGTTTAATTTGTTCAGCGTTTCAATGAAATGTATTTAAGGTGGCTGGACCCCCTCACGCTTGACCGCTACCTTCCACGTTTGGAACGCTGGGGCATAAACGTGTTTTATCCGATTGYAAATCTTTTTTGCACATAAGTCACATAAAGATTGAATTAATGTTTGATGCAGTTTTTAATGAAATCGGACGTCATAACACGTGATTATGATGAAATATTTGTTTTTGTTTAGAGAACAATTTTAGCCTTGCAGAGCGTTCAACACTAAAATGCTTCGTACCACATAATTATATACTAGATGCCTCCATTTGTAGGGATTTTTGAAAAAAATCTATCTAGCTAATTATGAGATATTTGAGATTCTTTAAATAGAGAGCATAATTTACTTCAAAACCAAACAATGGATTTCATACGGCCGAAATTAATATTTCAGAGCTATATATTCACAAAAGTCATTGCTCATTTAGTTTTACTCTGTATCTAGTCTTAAACGGAACATTTTGAAGGTAATCGACGTATGCGATTTTGTGAAAACGTATAATACATAAGACGGGGTAAACATTTCATGCGCACTTTTCATCGCAGTGTTCTAGTCAATCTTACAAGATCTTCCAACATTCTAAAATTCGTTGATAATTTGTCTCAAAACTACGTCAGGATACAAATTAGAACTTAAACTAATATGACACAAAATTGCAAGACTATTGAACCGCGCGAGGCTTGAACCGACGCTCTTACCAACAACTGCGCTAACCAGTTGGCAGTTATAACGAGTTCAAGACTTTCCGTGTTTGGTTTTGTTTACATCCAACAACTATGAAACTTGAACATCTTCAGAAACGGCAGGCGTATATTTATCTCCTATCTTGGACCAGAAAGGTTTTTCCTCGTAATGTTCCTCGCTAACTATTAGTTTGTTTGCCCATCATTGATCGTTTTCAGGTAAAGAAATTTTCATGCTTGCAAAATCATATCGAATAAAAAGCGTCCAATTATACTGTAAGAATGTTATGTTTTCCATTTTTATTAATAGAAGTATTTGAGGTCTTTCAGTGTTTTTTTTTTTAAAAGATTGAGTTGAACCAGATCATGTGAAATTGGCTATACTATATCGGCCAAGAAACCTCAAGATGAAAATTTTCAAATTAACAGACGTTTGTATGTCTGAGGGTATAGCGTATACCCCCAGACAAAAAAATATCCCAAGCATAAAAATGTCCGTAAATTTGTCATTTTCAGCTAAGGTTTTCTCAGCCGATATAGCACCTGACATAATGAGTCTTTGTAGGGTTACTAAAGTAAAGGTGCTCTTCTTAGTGCTGGTATTGGTTTTTTAATGTAACTCATTTCAATTTTTGGTCGCCATTTTAGCAAAGGGTCTATTAATTTCACTTGCGACGGAATAGTCGTAAACGGAATCGGGAGTTGCAAGAAGTCCATATGTGAAATTCCAAGTCAAAACCGCTCGTCAAACTAAAGGACAGAAACCTTCCATCTTTCCTATTCTGCTTCTGAAGCGCTTTCCACCACGACTACTAGTGTTAACTGCGTCACAAGCTGCTTTAAAATCCAATTCGGACTCTGCCGCAAGTGACACAGCATTACTGCATTTGTTTCACTTTTTTTCGTTTTTTTTTTTTTTTCTCCAGTCCCCCCGGTGTCCTTCATTAGATTCCTAATATGCTTGCTCTACAAATTAAAAATCCCATGATTTTATTTATGACTATGATGTCTTATTTTATGACTAAGATGTATTTCTCATCAATTATTAGGTGGAGATAGAGGAGTACAGCAGTATCGTTATGACTTCTGAAAGAACCATGCTGCGCCAATCTTCAAATGGTAATATTGTTGTGAATGTTTCGTTTGATAAATTGCGTTCTCGCTACGAATCAAGAAGAAATCCACCAGCATGGGAAGAAAGGTTACTAGAAGCACTCGTGGAACAAAAATATAATGCACATTCCCTTGAAAAGCGTTTGATATCCTTAGAGGAAACACTCGCCGTACAACACCAAGCTTATGAAAACGTGAGAGAATGTCTTAGAGTCTTAACACAACTAGACCTTAAAGAGAAAGAGAAAGATCTCGCCAACAGTGAACAGATATCAGATGAATTTGAAAAAGAATTGACAATAGAACAAAAGATAAACAAAGAGCTGGAATTAAAATTAAATGAGCTTCAAAGAAAATTAGCAAGCGAACAAGAGGCCAAAAAAGAAGCCGATCATCGATTTGAACTTAGTAAGCAGAGAGTACAAGAGCTTGAAGTCACTCTAGCTGAGGAGCGGCATGGTCACGAACAAACCAAGAAAAATGTAAAGGAAAGCAGCGAAAAAATAGATAAGCTTAATATAAACCTAACATCTACTGTAAAGGCCCTTGAGGAGAAGGAAAAGCACCTCATCAGAATCAGACAGATATCAGCAGCCTTTGAAAAAAAACTGGTGACAGAACAGGAAACAGCAAAAGAGGTAGAAAAGCATCACCAGAGAAACGAAGATAAATCAAATGAGCTTCAAAGAAAATTAGCTTATGAACAGAAAGCTAGAGAAGAAGCAGACAAACGACTTGAAATCTGCCAAAAAACATCAAAAGAGCTTGAGACAACGCTTGCCGAAACACAAAAACTTGTAAAAAAAAGACAAGAACCTGACAACGAGTGCGAATGGATTTTGAATCGAGAAGAGATTCAATTGACTGAAGAAAAACTCGGAAGCGGAACGTTTGGAACTGTGTGCAAAGGAATTTTTCGTGGTACACCAGTTGCTGTAAAACAAGTCTCAGTAAAGCCAAGGATTACAGAGTACAACATAGAAAACTTTAGAAGGGAAATGAAAATGGCGTCCAGATGTCGCCATCCTTGCATGTTACAGTTCATTGGTGCAACAAGTGATGATCAAAGTCTATTACTGCTGACTGAACTGTTGGACACTAGTTTAAAAGCTGTCTTACTTGATCGTGCATTAAACCTTGTTGAGATTATAACTATTGCAATGGATGTTGCTAAAGGGTTAAACTACTTACATCTCACCCGTCCACATCCTATTGTTCACCGTGACATTAGTAGCGGCAACGTGTTGCTATGGAAACATGGTCAGTCATGGCGAGGGAAGATTTCAGACTATGGAAATGCTGTGCTGATGAACTATGCCAAGACAGGCAGTGGGGGTGCTATTTCGTACTTGGCGCCTGAAATGAACAACAAAAGATTTTCACCAAAGGTAAAACATTAGTGAAGCTTACTTCAATAAAGAACGTTTGTGCATACTATCTAGGGTTAACGAACAAAAAATGTTAGTAAGAAAGATAGACCAGAATACATCACTGTCGTTTGTTGACTACTGAATAATTATTGTCATTTTTGCATATAGATCATACAAAAGTTGTATATTTGCGGGGTTTTTTTTGCTTTTTTTTTTTTGTGTGCCCTCCACATAATTTGTTGAAAAGAATTAATTTGGCTCGACTAGCATAAGAACGAAGCTTTAATGATGGAATAAAATAACAAGTGCAACACAAAATTACAAGTGCATAATCCTAAACATTGCCTGCGGTTCTATCGTATCCTTTATTAGTAGTGAGTAATCTGATCTCCTAACCGATTTAGATTTTATCTTTTTCAAAATCGATATTGGAGGATAAAAGTCTCTCTACTGTATATTATTTTTCCCCAGAGTGATGTGTACAGCTTTGGTGTTCTTCTGCTGGAAATGTGCCTCAGAGAAGAGCCATCATGTCTTGATGATAGAGATGAGCTTATTTGCTTGGTAGAGGATGGAGAACTGAGGTCCCTGATACGAAGTTGTCTTCAACAGGAACCAACACAACGCCCATCCATGGATAAAGTCTTAGATGTATTAACTGACCAATTAAGTAATTATTATATAACATTTATTTTCCTCTGTTTTTATTGCTACGCGATGGTCGAGGCAAACGTCGGTACTGTAAACTAGGCAATAGGTTACCGTCAACTAAATAATTCCTTCCCATTTACCATTCCACTTTCCACTAAATGCACGTTTACTCTAACCGGCAGTATTTTAAATGACAGTAGCCTATTACCTGTTTACCTTTTTTATTTCGATAAGTGCGCAGCAATGCAAACAGTGGTAATTACATTTCTAATGACATCGACCTCCAAAATAGAACATACTGTTATTTGACAAAACCAAATTGAAGACTCAAAACCCAGCCAGAACTTTGAAACTTTTGCAAATAATCAAGGCGCAATTACAAGAAGCAATTTTCTCTGCAACTGGAACATTGCATCGTGTACACTATAGCCTACAGCGTAATTTGAAAAGATCAGTTGCGAGACAAGTTGCATCAACCGTTGCCAAATGTAGAATTCGTTTCAACTTTTGGCAACGATTTGTCTCCGTTGCACCGTGTAAACACTCTTGCAACTTGTGTCGCAACGCCGTTGCGAGACAAGTTGGTGAGAAAATCGGTGCGTGTAATCGCGCCCATATATAACTATCAAAAATTCCGAGAAAACAAACAGTTTTAAAAAGTTTCCAAGACTTGGTATCCATGACTCTCGTTTTGTAAATACAAACATCGTTGTGCCTGCGTAGCGGCGCTTTGGGGGAAGAGGGCGAGGAAAGAAAGACTGTCTAAGTTTAACTCCAGACGAAAGACTCATTCTGAGAAAGCGAAATCATAAATCATTGGCCAAGATGGGGGAGAAATGAGGCAACAGGCTTTCATATCCCCCACTCATTACCGCACCTCCCACAAACAACTGCAACAACTGCGTGTATGACTGAGAAAATAGGGGAACTTGAAATTTTAGTGACCCTGCAAAGTGAGGTCTTGAAATAATTGATGAGTTATATGTAGTTAGAGGGGACCCCAAAAACCAGTGGGCATACTATAATTAGAGTTTCGTGCGCATAACCGACCTCCCCGACCATCCCTTCCCCCCACYCCAAAGTTTAGATACTTGTTGCAAACTACTAATTGAAATCACAAAAATAATTCCTAGCTTACAATCCACAATTAGTTTCGCTCTCAGACAACGTTTTTTTAAATAGGTATACATTGTTTAACAAAGTAAAGATAGGAAAAATAATATMTTTCTTGCACACACCCCAAACCCCCCTCYGATAAATAATGAAGGGTTCSTAAGAACCARCAAAACGATGATAATAAGRGGTYGTGGTTGGGTTTAACGCGACTAACTGAAACATGGATAGCCTAAAAACTACTAATTATAACAAACAAACGGGTACCCCCATACACAACCCCTAACAAGGATGTAGCGGTAAGCTACTATGGGCTTCCTGTGGTTTGTAAAGCCCAGCTCTAATAAGATAAATTTCTAACATACATTCTTTAAAGTCCTCAATAATATTAAACAGCAATTTGTCCATGACATGAAACTGAGATCATGTGCTACTTAAAGTGCCGAATACTGACAAAGAATTCAGCGCTTGGTTTTATTCGAGTCATGTCTGGCATAAAGGTATACATTGTTAAACAAAGCAAAAATAAGAAAAATATATCCCAGTAGATTAATGTAGTTTTTAAAGTTTTTATACTCACTTATTTTTGAGAGAAAATAGCTTGAAAAACATGAAGGGCTTCCTGTGGTATAACAAATTGAAGGCGGAAGTACAAAATCGAGGCTGGCTGGGGAATACCCTAATTTATATTTCAGAAGCGAAACATTTAGAGGCGCCATTTTGAAAGCTGTTTTTACTGCCGAGTGTAAAGCCTTCATTATGAGTCGGTTAGGAAGTGAATCAACTAAATATATTCTGTTGAGACATAAGATGTTGGGTCTGGAAATGCAATGTGAAAGAGGTCAAATATTTGTCGAAGATTTACATGCTTCAGAAGTTAATTTACCAAGTGGTTTTATAGCTCTTTACGATGAAAGCAGGGGACTAAAGTTTCAATGTCCTGCTGGATATGCTGCAAGATTAAGTGAGGCAGATGCTGAATATCTTATGAGAATAGCCTCCTTAGAGAAAAGATATAAAGCTTTCAAAGAAGGGAGTCGTTTTAGAAACACACCTAAATTCAAAGCTGGGAGTGAAGTGTTAGTGACAGTGAATGGTAGAGAAGTTCCTGGTGTAGTTACAGCCGTCTTGCCATCTTCTCTTGGTTATCCTGAGCCTATGTTCCAGGTATGTAACTTGAAGCATTATATATTTGGGTTTCGGGTAATTTATCCTGATCTATAYATTTTACCTTATATTATTATTGACACGATTTTCTTTGTTATTCATAGAGTTTTATACCCCATATTGCCCTGCTCGTTACGAATTCAAGGGCTTAATCTAGATAAAAGCCCACTATCCTCGGGAATTTTTTAGATAAATCCCTTGAATACTAATGTATGTTGTCCTTGAATATGTAATGAGATTGGCAATTAGACTTAGAAAGTTTCTACTGTAAACTTCAAAAACAATATTTTAATGCTCCCAACCCATTAGAGTATAAATAACAATCACAAGATAGTTTGTGGGGTAATGGGGTATTGGAATCAAGTTGCTCCAATCACAATCACCGTAATTAGCATACTGGCCATGCATGGCAAAGAGAGGTAATCCTCTCTCAATCTAGGGGTAAAGATCCCCTAGGCCGCAGATGGGTCATAATCCCCTCCTGGGTAATAATCCCCAAAAGTGACCAGTATGGGAGCACTTAATGAATTAAGTGGCTCCAATTGCAATCACAGCAATTAGCATACTGGCCATGCATGGCAAAAAGAAGTAATCCTCTCTCAATCTAGGGGTAAAGATCCCCTAGGCCGCAGATGGGTCATAATCCCCTCCTGGGTAATAATCCCCAAAAGTGACCAGTATGGAAGCACTTAATGAATTAAGTGGCTCCAATTGCAATCACAGCAATTAGCATACTGGCCATGCATAGCAAAGAGAGGTAATCCTCTCTCAATCTAGGGATAAAGATCTCCTAAGCTGCTTGGCGTCATAATCCCCCCAGGGTAATTATTTCCAGAATTAGCCTTAGTTTCCATGGTGACAGATAAATAGGGGTTATAATCCCCAAGAATACAGTCAACCATGAGTCTACGGGCAAAGAGTGACCAGTGGATAATTTGAATCACCGTAAGAAGCTTTGTTAGACTGACATTTAGGACGTTAGTCCTTCATCGGAGTAACAGATCATTCTGGTTCAAAGAGCTATCTCTACACCAGAAATTCCCTCCCACCCATCCCTTTTATCCTTTAATTGTACTTACTCTGACAAAGGACTAATGCCCGAAACATCAGTTTAACAAAGCTTCTTACAGTGATTCAATATATCCATAAATTCCTACTGTTTTATTCAGAAGCACCAACGCAGTCTACACTACTTCTCTACNGTATATATTTGGTGATCATCCGCATAGCTTGAAAGGTTGGCTCTTTTAACTATATATGCCATGTCGTTTTGAAATAAGTTCCATAATAGCGGGCCAAAGGAAGATCCCTGAGGACWGMCTCTGATTGATGTTTTCCACTCACTGTAGGTATCTTGCAGTTTGACTCTGTTCCGTCTATTTTGAAAATGGGATCTTATCAATTCCAAGGATCTATCAGAGAACTTGTAGGCTTTCAACTTATTGAGCATCAGTGATGGATGAAGAGAGTCAAAGGCTTTTGTCATATCTGTTGACAATAGACCTATACATTCCTTTCTATCAAGCGCCATTCTCCATTCTTCTGTTAGTCTWATTAGTGTAGTTTCACAACTATGCCGCTTGCGATACGCAGATAGAGATGGATCCAATACAGACTCAAAGTGTTTGTTGACTTGACTACTTAACAAACTCTCGTAGATTTTGTCTACCGTATTAAGTAATGTAATGGGGCGATAATTCTTCTTGTCTAGCGGATCATCCTTTTTAAAGACAGGACACCATATTCCTTTTTTCCATGAATCAGGCCATATCCCTTGCTGTATGCTTTTATTATAAAGTTTGGTCAACGGTGCTACTATTCCGTTAACTGCGGATTTCAGTATCATAGAAGTTATGTCATCGTTGCCACACGCTTTCCTTGTGTTCAACTTCCCAATGATAGACTTGACTTCATTGGTGTTTACTGTCTCAAATTGGAATTCACTCCAGGTAGCTTTACTTGAGAGTACTATACTTCCAATACTTGGATGATTAGTAAGGTCTTGTCCCGTAAGATCGTTAGCATTTGGACTTCCTATGTTGTTGGCCATAGTTGAAAAATAATCTGCCAAGATGTTCGCTACATTGGTTTTATCAGATTCAATGGATCCGTCTGCATCATTTTTAATACAAATCGCGCTTTGTCCTTGACTTTTGCCTTTGTTGTTCATAAATGGCTTAAACGTTTGGAAGAACTTGCGAGGTTTGGTTTTCAATTCTTCAGATTTCTGTAGCCAATATTGTTTAATGGCTTTGCGTCTTAATTTCGTTGCATTATTCCTCCATTTCTTCTTCAGATCCCAATTTTCCTGAGAGCG